AGCCCAGGTTGCTCCAAGCCCCGTCCAACCTGGCCTTGGACACTTCCAGGGATCCAGGGGCAGCCACAGCTTCTCTGGGCAACCTGGGCCAGGGCCTCCCCACCCTCACAAGGGAAGGATTTCTTCCCAATATCCAAAGCACTTTGAAGCAGGAAATTCCATAGCACAAGTTCACAGGAATCCCTCTTGCCTTCATTTAGAAACCCATCTGCTCTTGGCCTCGTGACTCTTAACTTGCCTTAACTCCATAACCTCTCTGAAGGCCACGACTTTCTGCAGGGCCTGCAAGTCATCCCACTTGGAGAAAGTGCTGCCACAGGGACACATCAGAGTTCTTCCATGATGAACACAAAAGAAAGGAAAAAAATTGGGGTTTGTGCTACTCCCTTATTCTCTCTGAGCTTTTTTTTTTAAAATTTAGTATTATTTTTCCTTGATCATGTCCTGGCCTTACAGACTCCCTGGCAGGTTCCCCATCTGTTTGAAGAAGGATTTTTTTAAAAATGTAATATTTCTCATAACATTTGCAATTTGGGCTGTGGGTTCTGGTTTTTGGCCTGCCCAGTGCTGTGCTGTGCCACGTTGAAACCCCTGGAAGTCTCTTAATCTCCGAGCCAATAACTGAGAGATCTTTTCCCTAATGAGGAAAAAGTAAGTAAATTACTGCATATTTTGCCACAGAACTGACAAGTTCTCCTGGCTTGTTTGTTTTTTAATCACCTGCTTCTGCCAGAGCTTGTGAACCCTTTTATGTTCCTCTCTTGGAAGAGGCTGGTTTTTGAGGGCCGTCTGTTCATTCCGAGTGATGTTCCTGCCCCGCTGTGTCTCCCTGCTCCCTTTCCTTGCATCTTTTTAAGCCTCTCTCAATAAACTCCCCCCCCCCACCAGCTTTTGTTTTGCCTCTGAGTGTCCTTAGGCACTCGTGGGCCCCTCAGACATTTCACTCTTTCACTGCTCTGTTTTCCCTCCTTTTAATAAGCTTCCACTTCCTCAGGAAGCTCCTCTTCCAGGCTGAGAACGACCCTTGTAGAGGATTTTTTGGCCTCTTGCAGGAATGTTGGATATCTGTGTAAGGATCATAGTTATTCCAAAGCATGTTTTGACTGCAGTTTTTTAAAAATCATTATTTTTGATTAAAAGCATATGTACACCTTCCAAAGCTTCCTATGTGTACTTTGGAAAATTTATTAACGTGCTTTTACACATTTATTAACATACTTCATGGCTGCCTCTTTGGTTTGTTATGTTTTCAGAGTTCTAATTTATAAATCTGAATGAAATACTTGCATTATCTATGGATTATTTAAACAATATGAAAGTACCTTGAGTTTTGCTTCAAAGGCACATCAGCCTATTTGATTCAAAACAGCCTTAAATTATAAAGTTGGGACTGTTCAGCCTGGAGAGAAGAAGGTTTTGTGGAGACTTCCCAGAAACATTCTGATATCTGAAGGCTTACAGGGAAGCTGAAGAGGGAGAGTTCATCAGGAACTGGAGTGACAGGACAAGAGGAAATGGCATCAAACTGAAAGAGAGGAAATTTAGGTCAGATATGGGGGAAAAACTGCTCCCTGTGAGGGTGGGGAGGCCCTGGCACAGGTTGCCCAGAGAAGCTGTGGCTGCCTAACCTCCATCCCTGCAAAGTGCCCCAAGCCAGTGGATCGGCTTGAGAGCAAAGCCTGGGCTAGTGACAGTGTCCCTGCCCATGCAGGGGTGGAATGAGACGAACTTGATGGAATTCCTTCCAACCCAAACCATCCGGATTTTATCAATTCTTTGCCTAAACATTTCGCGCAGATGGATGACTGATCTATGGACACGGGTATCTTCTAGCACGTCGTGAGGTGGCCCCATTCCAGTACAGGTACGTTTGGAAAACACAACTATATGGGATAGTCCAAGAACTGTAATTGATTCCGCTTTTAATTCTGGTTTCTTATGCTTCATTTCTTAAAAACTTCTTTGTGTTCCAACTGAAGTGCCTGTTGGTTCTGAGACAGCCGATAATAGGGTGGCAGCAATGTATAAATGTCTTTCTTCTGTCAACTAGAACAGAAAGCTGCTTCCAGCCCGCCTGCTCTTCTTTTGGGGCTCTCTGGACGGACAACATCCAGCAACTCCATGTTCCGTGCTGAACAAGCTGTTCCCAGGGCTGGAGCAGCTCTGCAGGGGGGTCTCCCCTGAGGGGCAGAGGGGCAGAATCCCCCCCTGCCCTGCTGCCCACGCTGGGGGATCAGCCCAGGGCACGGGGGGTTTCTGGGCCGGGGCAGGTCCAGCCTCTGCCCCACCAGCACCCCCAGGGCCTTCTGCCTGGGCTGCTCCATCTGCTCATCCCCAGCCTGGATTGATCCTGGGGGTTGCCAGAGAAAGCACTGAAGGCTTTGTCTGTCAATCCAGTCTCCAGGAGTAACCCCAGAGCTGCCATTCCCAACTCTGAAAGAGCAGTTCCAGTGACCTTGGCTGCTTAACCAACTAGAAGTGCAGCCACCCATGGATGTGTTTGCCCCACTCTTGCATCCCCTTGGAATGTTTACTTGCATGGCAAAAATGTTTAATGATCTCTGTGAAAAACCAGATGCCTTTTTTTTCCCCACATACAACTAGTTCTGGCACCCTCTGCTTTGCACAGCTCCAACTTTCCGTGTTCTGCAAGAGGGAACTTGAAATTTAGCATAGGAATAGGAATGAGACAAGTCCACACTTGGCCAAATTTTGGCACAGCCTTCAGAAATCCACCTGCTGAGAGCTGGAAGGAATCTGTGAGAGCTTTAGTGATGCCTGATGATAAAACTAGAGGGAAAAGGGGTGAGCCAGGAGGAGGAGCCCAAGCCAGGAATGGGGGTGAGGCAGTTTTCCCTTTCCACTTTGGACTCTTTGAAGAATTAAACTCTTAAAAGCATAATGTGGTGAGCTCAAAATAGGCAGAAAGAAAGAGAGAAGATATATTTGACATCTGTTTGAATTTTTAAAATGCTTTAGGACTGCATAAAAGTTAAATGTCAAGAGAAGAGACTGGGTATAAAACTGACCAAGACTGAAATGCTATTTTTAAATTTATAGATCACTTGGGCTTCAAGTGATCTCAGAAAAACCTCCATCAGAGTTAAAAACACACTCACAACAAAACCAATCCCATTTGCTGAGGATAGTTTTAAACTCACCATTGCCCAGAGAAGCTGTGGCTGCCCCTGGATCCCTGGAAGTGTCCAAGGCCAGGTTGAATGGGGCTGGGAGCAACCTGGGCTAGTGGGAGGTGTCCCTGCCCATGGCAGGGGGTTGGAGTCTGTTGATCTTTAAGGTCCCTTCCAACCCAAACCATTCTGGGATTCTTTGCTTAATTTCCTCAAAGATCTATCACAAAGGTGTTTCTCAAAGAAAGGAGGTTGCTTTAGAAATGTATGGGTTGCCTACTTAATTTTTATTTAAAAAGAGCCTGGCGCTGTAAGTATCCCCTTAATTATGAGGGTTTTTTTCTCCTCTAGTTTCAGCAAATATCCTTTCCAGTGAGATGTTTTTGTGCTAAACCTGCAGATCTGCCTGCTGGCTTTCTAATTTCTCTGTTTCCAATCTGATTTTTCATTTCAGGCCCGTGTGAATCCCATCAGTGTCACTCCACCCATCCAGGCCATAGATCAGGACCGAAACATCCAGCCTCCTTCCGATCGACCGGGCATCCTCTATTCCATCCTAGTTGGTTGGTGTCTGCTCCTCTTCTATCCCTCACAATCAGTCTCTTTGTTATGGCCAGCCACAGAAAGATTGCCTGGGAGAGTGGAAACGTAATAGAAATTCCTGTTGTGGTCAGTGGGATGTTTGAAATCGTTGTTCTACCTGCTTGTGTTTAACTGCCATGGAGAAGTTTATTTCAGATGGGTGTTTATTATTATTTATTCAGATTGAAGCCATAATTGTCTTGTTTAGTGAATGGGGCAACACAGCAAGTGAAAGGAGAGAGACTGAGTTCTCATAGCTCTGCTGGAGTGTGTTTTTCATTCACAGGCCCAATAGAAGAGGCTAAAGAAAGGCAATTAGAGCAGGTTTCATCCCAAAAGGCTCCTGGCACAGAGCAGCTTAAAAGGGCTTACTGCATCCACCTCCAGTTGTGCTGCCTGTGAGCTGGTGTGCTTTCCCTTGTAGTTTAATGTTTGTTTAGTTGTTTATGCTGTTTTCTGGCCATGTTTTTTGTTTTCCTGCTGCTTCCCTGGGCCTGGCACTTGTTGCAGTCACTCTGCTTGTAGGCTGTGATAAGGGAATGGCCTGAGGGTGGTTGGCAGCTGCAGTGCCCCACCTGCCCTGCTCTTCCCAAAGTCCACACGCTGACTTGGGAGGCATCTCTGTGGGATTTGAAGAGGGGGTGTTTTGTGGAATCACATCTTTGTGGTGTTTCCTGAGTTAAACTGCAGCTCCATGGTTTTCTCCCCCAGGGGGAGGTGCAAGTAAAGATTTTAATGAGCACCTGGTGCACCTTTGCTCGTCATAAAACAAAAGCTGCTTCTGTATCACAGAACCACAGCTGAGTTCAGCCTCCTCCTGGAGCACAATTGGATTTTTTGGGGGAAACCATGGATTCCTTTGGGCTGCACCTGGATCCAAATCTGGCAGACCAAGCAATGAGTCCTCTCCCAGCAAAGCTGCTCTGGGAGGAGATTGGGAGCCATTCTTAGAGTAAATCCTGGGTGGATTTATGTCTGCAAATGGACTTGGCTTAGTTAGGCTTGGCTGATCAGCAGCTCTGCTGTGACAGCTCTGCCCCAGTGCCACGGTTAGGCCAGTTTTTTGAAGTTCTTTGCAGAACTGACAAAGCTCTTCAAGAGTGAAATTATTAAAGATTGTGTTTCACTGACCTGGGATATTGTTGATATAGGAGTGACTGTTTTGACCTCCAAGAAATAATTCAGGATGATGTCTTCCAGCAGTTTGGTTGGGTTTGGGGAATTCTTCAATGGACAGGCTCTTCCTTTTTTCCTTCTTTCTTTTATCCTTCTTTCTTTTTTCCTTCTCTTTTCTTACTGTTTTTACTTCTTTCTTTTTTCCTTGGTTTCCCTCCTTTTTTCTTCCTTTTACTTTCTTTCCTCATTTTTTCTGTCTTTCTTTTCTTCTTTCTTTCTTTTCTTCTTTCCTTCTTTTCTTCTTTCCTTTCTTTCCTTCCTCTCCTTCTTTCCTTCTTCTTTCTTTCCTTTTTTCTTTCCTTCCTCCCTCCCTCCTTTCTTGCTTCCTTATCTTTTCTTTTTTCCCTCATTCTTTCCCCCCTCTCTTTTCCTTCTTTCCATTTTTATCTTTTTTTTTCCTTTTCTTTCTTTTTTCTCTCCCTTCCCCTCTCTTATTTTTTTCTGTTCTCTTGTTCTGGTTTTCTTTTTTTTTTTTTAAAACCTTCTTATTTTTTCCCCCTTAGTCTTCCAGCGTATTTCTTCTTAGATTTTAAGCCTGCCTTCATCTTTGCCAGGATTGCAGTGCTATTTATATTTTAGCCTCAGAAAATATTAAGTAGTTTCACAGGAAAAAGGCCTTGCAGGTATTTCTTGTTACGTGGATTTAGTAACTTGCTTTAGTTCTAAATGTACTTCTTAATATCTTTGGATTTGGCTTTTTTTAAACACTGCAAGGTTTGAACTGTGACCATAGAATGAGGAATTTGGCTACTTACTGAATATGAGAATGATTTTGAAGTTGATTTTATTTGACTGTTCTATTTGGTTCTTCTTTTCCCCTGTTTTCATCCCCCCATTCACACCTCTACAAATCCTGGCCTGTGCTTTGGGCACTGTGGATTTCCAATGTTTAACATTTGGAAACGTGATATTTGGAATATTTTTTTTGTAATGCACTAATTTTTCTCCTCCTTCACTTTCAGGAACATTAATTAATTTATTTGGGCCTTGCAGTAGAGCCACATATGGTGCCTGGACATATCAAGTGTGAAGCAAACCCACCTCCCCTTATTTTTATTAGTAATACCATTTTTACTAATAAATTTTACTATATTTACTAGTAACTTACTAGTAAAATATTATTTTTATGAGTAATTTTAAGCCTTTTTTTATCCTCTGGGGCTGGTCTTTGAGAAAAGATAAATTTTCCTTTAAATTGCCAGCTTCTGACCCTGGAACTGTCTCTGTGATTTCTGCTGCCAGTTTGCACAAGTGGCTGTTTTATTTGGTTGATATTTTAACTAAAGAGCCACAAAACCCCTCCAGCATTTTTGGGGAGCTCCTCTCCATCCCCGTGTGCTCCCTGATGCCTTTGGAATCACTGTGTCCCACAAAACCCCTCCTCTGGCTCCAAGAAAAGAAAACTCCTCCCCTCCATAATTTCCTCCTTCAGGAAACCTCTTCTTTTCTACTTTGGAATTTAGTCCTTAATATCTTGATTTTTTTTTTTTAACTTCAGCATCAGCCCTGGTGATGTGAAGCCTCTAAGACCACAGCAGTCTGTTACCTGCCAAAAACTGGGAGCTCCTGCTGGGTGCCTTGTGCTCTTAAAGAATTAGATGAATTAATTAGGAGCTGAATTTAAAAGGCAGGACTTAGAACTTGAAGCTCTGCATTGATGGTGGTGGTGTAGTAGAAAGAATAATCCACAGTAGTTCTTCTGCTGCTTTCTGGGTCGATGACATATGTGTATATCAAGATAGTCACAGAAAAAAAACCATATATATATATGTATACACTATATATATATATAATTTATATATCTGGCAACTGGTTGTCATTTGAGGAGCTGCAAATGAAATTATTGCCCATGAAGTCTGGACAGTGATCCATCTCCTGAGGCAGCTTCTGGCTTTCTAAGAGCAGTTTCTAACCATTCCTCTTGAAAGGTGAACACATAGCAGCACCATTTATCAGGAAAGTGCTCTTTTCTTGTGTTGAATCTTCTGCCCTGTTGTGCTTCAATCCTGGCTGGATTGAGGATTTGGCATGGCAAGGTTTGTTTGGCTCTCATGGCTCAGGGCACTTCCTGGGACGTTCATCCCACGAGCCAGGAGCGCTTTCTGCCCCTCAGCTGCTGCACAGGACTGTTCCCAGACCTAAAATCCTCCAGAGCTTAGGTTTATAATCGGTGTTTTGGTTTCCTGGGATGCTCTCCCAACACTGCCAAGCTGGGAGGTGCCAGAGTTTGTGCTGTGTGTCAACACTGTGGCTCTCTGAGCCCTTTGGTACCAATGCTTTGAGTATTGGAGCCCTTTGGTGCCATTTCTTTGAGAGTCACGTGGCTCTCGATCCCAGCAGCTGAGTCCTTCCCTCCTCCCGTGTCTGCCTGGCTCCAGCAGGAGCCCTTCGGAAGGTTTTTGGGCTGCAGGTGCCAGACCCAGCAGGGTAATGGCTGTGCCAGCCTTTCAGGGCCCTTGCTCAATCCCCATGACATCCCACATCTACTCAGACTCTGATGCCTCCACTGGTTTGGAGACTATCCTGCAAATCCCCAGCCATGAGGACACCATTTCCAGCTGGCAGTAAATGGAAGCTCTTTCATCTGGTGCCTCCTCCCTGATGAGAAACTTCATTTCTTAGAAGGATTTCTAAAATGGCCCGTGTGTTTTTATATTGTACAATTATAATTTATGCTATTACCTATATATATTACTTCTATGCTATTAATAATGCTCCTGTTGTTATCAAGCACTTGGGGATTCCCAGTTGAGAAGAATCTTCGTGGTCAGGGACAGCAGGGACATAATGGTAATATTAAACACAGTGGTAATATTAAACACATAGCTTAGTAGTATCCTAAAGCTCCATGTACACATGATGCAATATTTTATCCTTACAATAACAGGATTAGGTTTTGTTCCTTTGATGACTAATGAGTAAAATAAATACATTGTTGAACTAAACCTTTCAGATTTATTCAAACCTCAATGTCTTTCTTGCAGGTACCCCTGAGGATTATCCACAGTATTTCCATATGAATCTCACAACAGCTGAACTGACACTCCTCAAGCCAATAAATAGGGATTTACACCAGAAGTTTGACTTGGTTATTAAGGTAATTTGGGCTGAATTCATCTTTCTATATTCTTTTGAGAACGAAAAACCCTGAAGAAAATGTGGGGTGGGCTTACTTGTCTTTCCTGCAGTGCTCTCTTCTCATTTTTAGCCTGTCAGGCATCATTTAACACCATCAAGGGGAACAAGGGTGTGAAGTATTTGAGAAAAGGGAATGAATCATGGCAGAGTCCCAACAGTTCATGTTATATTGTATTAACAAACTAAGTATCACTTGTCTGTTTGCTTTTTATGGCTCCTGAGAATGCATTTGGTTTCTGTTTCACGTGTTCCTGTGCTGAAGGTTCATAGAGGTGCAGATAAGGGTGTGAGTAGTGAATATTCACAGGATCCCAGGATGGGTCAGGCTGGAAGGGACCACAGTGGGGAGCTGGTCCCACCTCCCTGCTCCAGCAGGGCCAGCCCAGAGCACAGGGCACAGGAGTGTGTCCAGACAGCTCTGGAATAGCCCCAGGGAGGACACTCCACCCCCTCTCTGCTCTCTCTTCAGGGCTGGGGCACTGCCCAGCCAACAAGTTCTTCCTCCTGTCCAGCTGGAACTTCCTGGCCATCAGTTCCTGCCCATTCCTCTTGTCTTATACTGGGAGCAAGGACAACAAAAAAAATCATCTCCACATCTTGTAGCAATTTTGTGGAGGGGTTTCTTGGTTTAGTGTTGGTTTTGTTTTGTTCAGGTTAGATTCAAAATAAGGCAGCTCAGTCCAGAGCTCTGCTACTGAATAGAAAGAAAGCTCCTGAAACAAAACCAGTGCTGAGCTCAATCAGCTCCTGTTAATGGGAAAAGCCACAAACCATTCCCCATCCCTGGAAGGGTTCCAGGCCAGGTTGGACAGGGCTTGGAGGAACCTGGTCTCAGCATGTCTTTCAACATGCATCTTCCCCTGGTTACTGAGTCCCAGCTCTGCACATGTAAAATACAGTCAGAATTTGCTACTTTCTTTGCCAATTTGAGGATTAAGAGGAGAAGAATAGGAGGTGACAATATCAATGTTTGACTTGTTAAATGTACTAAGCTGTTAATTTTACTTTGAACAAAATTGTACAAAGCTGAAAGCTTTGCTGTAGGTGGGGTTTGCACCAGGCTGCAAAAATCAGTGCAGTAAAGATGGTGGCAGTGAGAACAGAGCAGAGTTACATTGGATTCTTTTGGAGAGAGTCTGGACCTGACCCTGGAGTTGTTGTCTAATGACAGAAAAATCAAGGTTTTGTTCTGTTTATTCATAGCTGGAAGGGCAAATAAAAGAGAAAGGAATCTCTGCAGTCTTGTAGTAGAGCACTATTGTGTATCTATCAGGGCATTCCATGGAGAAAAAAGAGCATGCTTTCAAACTGCACCATATTTAAACACATATTTAAATACTTAGTAGTATCAAATTTATTTCTAAACACAAATGTTCAACTCATACAGGTAGTTTGGATTGGAAGGGACCTTAAAGACCATCTAGTTCCAACCCTCTGCCATAGGCAGGGATGCCACCCACTATCCAAATACAGTGGTAATAAGTTTGTTAATATACAGGTCCTTTCTGTATCTCCTGAGGAACTGAGCTGTGAGTACAGTAGGACAGAAGATGAAACAAGATTGCAGCTCATAACAGTGTTGAATAACTTGGCACCTCTTTAAATACTGTGTTGATTTCCTCCCTTGGTTGATTTTGAATGCAGCAAAGTACAAAGCTGGTGCATGCTGACAGTGAAATCATTTGGGATTGGATTCCTTGATAAAAATCTATTTTGGGCCTTACTTCCTCTTCTGGAGTTCTGCTGTCACTGGGACAGATGTGGAAATTTGGGTGAATTAACATCTAAATAAATGGAGAGGGACTTTTCCCAAGGGTGTGTTAGAGATACAAGGGGGAATGGCTTACCACTGCCAGAGGGCAGGGATAGATGGGATATTGGGAAAAAATTGTTCCCTGTGAGGGTGGGGAGGCCCTGGCACAGGTTGCCAGAGAAGCTGTGGCTGCCCCTGGATCCCTGGAAGTGTCCAAGGCCAGGTTGGAGCAACCTGGACTAGTGGGAGGTGTCCCTGCCCATGGCAGGGGGTGGAACAAGATGGGCTTTAAGGTCCCTTCCAGCCCAAACCATTCTAAATATAGAATTCTAAACGTACTAAGAAATGACAGGTTAAAGCCCTGGAGCACTTTGATTTCCAAAATCCAGCAGCCAGGTACAGTAGCACAACACACCAATTACAGCCACCCCTTACCCTGCTCTGGTGGGGCATCTCCTGAGCCTAAATGGCCCCTTTGGTTGTTGATGGCACTGTTTATAGGCACTGCTGGTTCATGTTGCTGTGCTGTAGGTGCAGTCAGGGGGACAATAAGGGAAAGGATCAGTCTGTAAGAATGACAGTGTGCCACCAGCTAGAATAATAAAAGTTTTCATGCTGTGCTGTTCAGGGCCCTTTTGAACTGCTGTGATGTCTCAGGCTTGTACCAAATCAAACCTTCAGATTCTTGTGTTACTCGTTCTCCAGTTTTCATTTCTCGCAGCGTTGGAGTTGTTGGATCTGATTCTGTTTTATCTGTGTGATGTTTCCCTTCAAACAGAAAATACACTGGTTTTTGCAGCACTCACAAAATTTAATCTTTAAAATATTCCCTCTCATGTGAGGAGATCAATTTTTTTTTTTTCCTGTTAAGTTATTATGGAAAAGAGTGAAATGGAAAAGGTGGTTAAGTCAATACATGAATATTTCAATGCAGGAAGGAAGGTGGGCAGGAAATGGGTGTGCTCACCTGTGGGACAAAAATTGGATTGCTGATAAATTTTGAATTCTCAAATAGGGAGACAATGGAAAAAACTAAATATCTTAATAAGAAATGCTGGTTTTCAGCCTCTGTACTATCTCCAGAATATAATAGATGATAAGCAAGGAGAAAAACTGTTTTGTCCTCCTGTGGCACTTCCATTCCCTGCCAAGCAATGTGGGCTTTTACAAAAGAAGGTGTGGATTTTTTTGGGTGTCCCATTGAAATTTCCATGTTTCATCAGCAAGGCTGCCACACTGTGTGGATTTAGAACCTTTAAACTGAAAGGGCTTCCAGTGTTAATAATCCTGTAATTAAAATTAGATACACATGACCATTGCACTGTAGACATGAGACTGTGTTCTTGTTACCAGCTCTAAAAAGTGTTAGTGAGGTTTTATTTATTTTTAAAGCATGTATAACATGAAACCAAAAGGAGAATTAATCAAATTTTGATGCATTTGGATCCTTTCCTCTTGGAACTTGGGTTATTTATCAATCAGACAAAATCTAAGCTGGCAGTTCTATTATAATCAATTTGCAAAGAGGATGGGCTGCTGAAGGCTGGATGTGCTTACACAGCCTGTGAAACCTAATTCCTGGAATTGCTGCACTCCAGAGAATTTACCACATCTGTAAGAAACCAGATTTTGCTGAACTTGCTGCGCATCAGGTGAGAGAGCAGAGGACTGTTTTGTTGATCTCATGGGGGCACCTGGGCACAGGGGAAATGAAGTTAATAATGTAGTTTTAGAGTAGGTTTGCATAGAGCCTGTATGGTATTAAACCACTGTCCGCTGTATTTAATTGTATTAGGGAAATTGAAAAGGATTTATGTAAATTGGGCATCTCAAAAAAAAAAAAAATCAAATTAGATTAAAAAAAAGGGGGAGAAGGGAAGGAGGAAAGAAGTTTCCCAGCTTCAAATAACATTTGTAGGCTGACTTTTTAATAAGACTTCTACTCGAAACCAAGAGTTTTATGGTTCTTAGGGAATAGACTCTCACAACCTGGTCTTGTGGGAGGTGTCCCTGCCCAAGGCAGGGGGTTGGAATGCCATGAGCACTAAGGCCCTTCCAACCCAAACCACTCTGGAATTCTATGAAAAAGGGGTTTTTGGTGCTTTCCCTGCAGTTTTGGGAAGAGAAGTGTCTGTGCCACAGAGATGCAGATTATTTTGAAGGATATCCTTACAAGAGGATTTTCTGTGTCCCAGGGACCTCTCTGTGCCATCCCCACGAGGTGCCTCTGCCAGGCTGTCCTTGACCCAGGGTCAGATAACACCATGGAGACACTTCTACAGTGGGATTGCATTTCCCTGTTGTTCAGGTGGTGACAGAAGGTCAGACTTTGAAATTCCAGTGTCACCAGGAAATTGGTTTGTGGGCCCACTCTGCAGGAAGTGAGGGGGAACTCTCCTGTAAAATTCTGTTTACTCTGGAATTTTTACTGGCTGGAATTTTTGAACAGAGTGGGATTTAGAATCTTTAGAAGGTTTTCCCCTGCTGAATTGTCAGGTTGTTATATAGGCTGACATTAGACACAGTGAGTAAGTCAGGTGTACTTGCTGTGAGCATTTCTGCGAGACTGAGTAGCAGCCAGACCAAATTCCAAGTTAATCAGGGAAAATTGTGAGTGAACTCGGCTTCATGCATAAGATGCCATTTGCAGTGACAGTCCTGGGCAGGAATTTGTGTGCCTGTTGTCCTACCCATCCCAAGGAAATGCCTGGGAGCTGGAAACAGCTTCCTCACAAGGGGCACTGGGGGCACAGCTCCAATCTCTGCTCTCTGTGAGCAGGGACAGCACCCAGGGAACAGCTGGAGCTGTGCCAGGGCAGGATCAGGTTGGATCTCAGGGAAAGGTTCTTCCCCCAGAGGGTGGTTGCACTGCCCAGGCTCCCCAGGGCAGTGGGCACAGCCCCAAGGCTACCAGAGCTCCAGGAGGGTTTGGACAACGCTCTGAGGGACAGGGGGGGATTGTTGGGGTGTCTGTGCAGGGCCAGGAGTTGGACTGGATGACCCTTGTGGGTCCCTTCCAGCTCAGGATATTCCATGATTCTGTGATTCCTTTCTTGTGGAGGTGCTTTGGATCAGGGAGATGCTCCCAGAACATGTATCAGCTGTTCCAGTACAGGGAAGCCCTTCACAATGTGCTCAATTTTCCCTGATCTGGATCTCAGCAGAAACAACAGAAAGTGGTGCTCTCCTGCTTCTCCCTTGGGAGA